AACTGCGAGGTGCCGCTTCCCAACAGATAGTTGTTTGGCTTGGTAAAGTAGGAAAGACAAATGCAACATTTTAATATAGTGGTGGGTTGATATTTTACTCTCTTTCTATATTACTAGGCGGCGATGCCGCGCCTTGTCGTAGCGGAGATGACTTATTGACATGTATTATGTGGCCAATTATGGTGTTTTATTAGTATTATTAGTCTAAACCTAATTTTTTGTTAGCAAGTTTTTTTAGTAATATTGGCTTTGATAATATGATCTTGACTGAGATGGCGGTGAACATCCAATTTTGAAAATTTTGGCTAGTAAATATACTTAAACCCAAGTAGACCCATTAATTATGGGTAGGGTATGAGTGACGTATATGTGGGTTAGGATTCTACAAAAAAAAAAAAAATATGTGGGTTTGGAAGTTTGTAGATGGGTTTGTGTAGGGTATGGATATTTACTTTCATAATCTAAATGTGTATGAATTAGGTATTGATATCCATTTATTCGTAAGTATTCTAATTACACATAAAAAATTAGACATATTTATAGAACTTCAAAGTTGAGGTTCCAAAATATAATATACAAAAGTTTTATGTACTAAAATATAATGTCCATCAATATTTTGAGGACTTATATGCCAAAAAAATAAATTTAGGTTATAAATCTAAAAATCTATTAAGTTTATGTACAAGATTGTAATTTGCATATTTGAGGTTTAATTTCTTTTATGGTAATATATTTAATATGACCATTATTTACTTCTTTTTTTTATCGAAAATGGAAACTATTTATTTGATATGTGTAGATACTAGATACCATTACCTAGCCCGGATGAAAAAGAAAAACTTTAGAGAGAAACAAAATGGATACAAACTGGAACTCGCTTAAAATCTCACGCCTTCAAATCCCATAGTGGAAAATGACGTTTTTCTTATAAGTAACAACCATATATATTTATTTTTAATTGGACTCGACATTGAGCTGAAAAAGTTAGTGGTTCATGGTTCAATTATTAATTCTCTAGACTGTTAGTGAATCGTTAATGGACCCGTTCATACTTGTGGTTAGAATACATAAAAATAGTATACTAATTAGGGTTAGACGAAGAAGGAAAACAAAGAAACAAAGAAACAAAGAAAGGGTTATGGAAGGCGAGTGAAAAATAAAACGAAGAGTAAGTAGATGATGAAAAGCCTTTCCCCATTTCTTTTAGTTGGTCGTCAATACAACAGTTAACTCTTTTCACCGTAACAATTTATTGACACTTATTTATGTAGATGTCGCATATTTTGTTACATGTAGTTAGTAAAAATTTGTTTAGTACACCGTAAATGTACTAATTGAGTTTATAAATTCGCTTGCAATATTTTAGAGTTGTCTCTCTTTTATCATTTATTTAATGTCTCACGTAATGAGCAAATATAAAATGGTCGAATCTTCTTCTACAGTTGAGTGATACATCATCTTGTATTGTACAAACTAAATTTGTACTTTTATGTTATGGTGGATTGAATTCATGGATTGGTGGATTGGATTCATGGTTTAAGTGAAATTTAAACATTGGACCAATATGTAAATTTAAAAAATTGTAGGTACGAAAATCTCATAAAATGTAGATACCAAAACATAATTGTTCAATGAATTTACATTAATTTTGGATATCAAAATGCAAAATGTAAATTATAGTAACTAAATTATGATTTGATTAAATTTGCGGTATCATAAAGTAAGTTTTTATGCAACAGTAAACTTACTTCAGCTTTATATATATAGTAATTTTCAGAAGCGAAAACCTCACTTGGGTATTTAGGTATGATCACCAGGGCATTGAAGTGGTATGATTGCACGTAATCTAGGGATGGCAATGGGGCGGGTTTGGGACGGGTTTGCCTAAACCATCCCATCCCCGCTTTCAAATATCTATACCCATACCCGCCCCATACCCATGTGGGGGAAGGTTTTGCAAACCCATCCCCATACTCATGGGTTTCGGGTACCCATGGGTAATACCCGCCCCGTACATCCAACATTATAATACTAAATATTTTACATGTAGACTTTCAATTATAACATTAAACGCACCTACTATATCATGAAGTTTATAAAGAGACAATCATTTTTAATACGATTCAAAGCATCTTATCCTAAAGCATCCATTAATCCATATAAGAGTAGAGTACAATGTCATTCAAATCATTATTCTCTACTGTGATACATCTATTAAGTAATAATTAACTAACATAATCTTGTTAACAAGGGGAAAAAGTGAAAGATTGAAGGGAAAATTGAGACAAATAAATTAGATTTTGATTTGGGTGGTCACTTAATTGCATTTCTACAATATATTTTTATTGAGTTATACTCACTATTATTGATAGGTTACAAATCGATTCACATATTTTTCATATGTGAAGAAATATTTTTGGTGGGGCGGGTATGGGTATGGGGCGGGGGAGGCTAAAACCATACCCGCCCCATACCCATCAAACTTTTTGCGGTTTTACCCATACCCGCCCCATACCCGGTCAATGCGGGGATTCCCCGCGTTGACTGGGTCGGGGGCGGTCGGATACCCGTGGGCATGGGTTTAATTGTCATCCCTCGTAATCTTTCGTTCACATTTTGTTTCTCTTAAGTTGGTTACAAGTGAAAGTGATAAATTTTGTCGTCGGATTGCGAGTTCGTAATTGATCATTTTCTGATAACTAAAAGAGATCGTTATTTGATACTTATATTGATATGAAATCGAACGTTCCAGTTGCATTACATACAACCCAATAAAAATAGCCGTTTGAATGATCCTTTGGGCGTGTTGATGATTGCAGACGCACAATTATACGAAGCATCTCCGATTATTTTCTTGTAGAATAATTGATTTTTCGTCGCGATTTGTTGGAGTTTGATGAATGGCATATGATCATCTTGTGGGGTTTGCTGATGATGCGAAGGTGGTCTTGGACAAGGCCAGGGAGGAGAAGCCGGCGGAATGTCGATGGTATGTTTTGTTGGTCCACGTAATAATAGGATTGACCACTTTGTGGCTAAAGAAATTCTTTCATTGTGCCCATCTTTGGTTGGATTGGAATCTCGTTTCTAACTAAGTGTTTTTGACGATATGACTTTCTTGTATCCGACTATTTCCTCGATAATATGAGTTATTTCTCGATTAAACAAAACTAGCTTAAACCCTGCTCGTTGGGAAGTTGGCTCTATTTTTTTCCGTTCATTTATCATTATAATTTATAACTATACTTGCGATATCCATAATTATATAGGATTATATAGAGTTCATTTTATGAATGGTACATAGTAGTATAGTTTTAGCCTCCAATTTATGATCCAACATAGTTATATAGAACATTGATAGGAACAAAAATGATAGATAGTATATGAACTCACTTGACCTTGGATCGTCACTTTGATAAGAGCCTTGACCTCTAAAGTCATTTGATATTTGCTGAAATCATCAAGCAATTTATTAAAGGTAAGTTAATGGATGAAAATTACTATATACCATCTTATTTAACATTATTATAGTTTCGGGCCTATAAGTGAAAAGCATTTGGTGATATTTAATATGTTCTTATATGACAATATATCTAATGCTTTATAAATCAAGCCATCCTTGTGAGGGGCATCAATTAGTGTCATGGCATGGCTAGCAACATTAGAGTGACAATTTATTTACGTTGGAGTCGGGCGCAAACCCATGGATTAGATATATTGTATTTGACGATAAAACAAAATTATAAAAAATTATCAAATAGTATTGAGTTCAAATATTATCATTGGTTAATCTTACAGACACTTTTGTTCATAGAAGCTGACGTAAATAGCTTAATTTTATAGAAAGGAGTACGTGGCAATGAGTTAAATCCAAAAGTTGTTTAATAATTTTATAGACAGACAAGCTCATTCACAAGCTGGCTAATCTTACCTCTCTCGTACTTTACCTTCCCATCTTTGCTCGCCCTTCTCTCTAAAAAGTCTCAGCTTCCTCTGCCTTCCATGGTTGCCGTTGACTCCTTTTGGTGACCGGCGGCAGCCGATGCCCTTTCTTTTCCTTGTTTTTCTTTGTTTTCTGGTCGTCGTTTCTTGTGGCCTTGCTATAGGCTTTTTCATCTTTCGATTTCAGTCTCTCCAGCCGTTATGGTGTTTCAGATCTAGGATTTTCCAATTCAAGGCTTGCTCGTTTGGGGGACCTGGTGTTAGCAGCTTGGAGTCTCGATCTGACCCTTGCGGTGGTTGGTCTTCCAGGTTGGTGGTCTCATCTCTTTTGATGAAGCCATTCTCATCTTTCCTTCTCCGACCTCCCCAGGATGTGGGTGTTGCTTGGTTGGTCGTCGGTTTGTGGAGGTGTGAGTCTTCTCTAGGTGCGGTGGTGGAAATCGGTTCATCGGTGGCCTTTGGACCTCTTCGGAACTCGATCTCTCTTTCCTGGACCCTCTGCCTTCTCAGCTTGGAGCATTCTGGTTCATATCCTTCTACACCGCCATGTAATCCTCAACAGTCATGGATTTCGATATGATCAGACAAGTTGACCCTAATCTTGTTGTGTTTTGATTGATTGGTTGCAAGAGGGATTTTGTGGTTCCTGTTTTGGTCCGTGTGTTTGGATCTTTTGGGTGATTGGTTTTCATTTTGTGCTTTGTGTCTCCCTTGTTGCATCTTTGAGCATAGTTTGTTAATCGGTTGTTCTGGGTTTCTCTCCTCTCACTGGATCCATTTTTTTGGTTCTTCGTATTATTCTTGTAACTGATTCAGTTGAAATGCAATAAAGATTCCTCCTTGTAAAAAAATAAAATAAAAACATGCTGGCTCATTTGACTAGCAAGCTAAGTATTGAAAATGATTGAGAATCAACCCACAAAAAACCTATTGACCACATTTATCTTGGAAACTGGAAATTACAGTAAGGTCAACGCCAACGGATAGCATAACACAGTTTCACAAACACAAATAAAAAAATAAAAATTAAATAGGGGATAGCACAAGATTTTTTGATTCCAAGATTCGGCGCCAATTGCTCATTGGATTTTGGAATTCGTAACCTCCGTTCAACTATCCGCCAACTGACATTACCAAACAATCCGGCCGATCTCCCCATTTCCATACGCCAAAGAAAGGGAGTCATGAACTTCCCGCCGATCACGCCGCTCGCTTTCTTCTTCTTCATCTTGTCCACCGCGGCGGCGGCGGCGGCGGCGGAATCTTCACCACCGCAGTGCAAAGCATGGCTAGTCCAATCCATACCCACCGACATGCCCGACCTCCCTCGCGTCCCCGGGGTTCTCTCCTCCAGCGACGTCCTTCGCTGGCTGGCCGGCAACTCAACCGGTAGACTCGACATCATCGCCCAGTACTGGTCGCTCGTCGCCTCGCCGGAAGATCCTAGGTCGGGAGACTATGGATACTCGGAGGCCGATATGCAGAGGTTCGGAGCTGGTGAAGGCGCCGCCGTTTACAAATCAATCGAGGACGCTTCTGATCGCGATGTCAAAATTAGGTCGGGTCTTGCGAAATCAAATCGATTTTGGAAATTGGTACTCTCTTCGATTTCGAGGTTTTGCTACTTCAAATTGTTTTGATTGTAATCTCGAAATCGCTATTAGATTGCTGCAACACTCTGGGGTTTATCCTGACTTCACTAAAGAGCCGACCGAGCTTGCTTCGAGAAGGCCTGGAAATGTGGAGAGCGCCACTCTGTTGTTGAGCAAATGGTGGGGTTCTGGTATTGTTCATGCCAAGGTCTGGATATCTGATCGTAGAGATGTGTACATTGGTTCCGCCAATAATGACTGGAAATCCCTAACTCAGGTAATCTGAAAAAAGTTTGTTACAATTTGGTTCATTTTAAGTTTTGGGTAATTGCTGAGTTCGGGCTACATCGATTCCCATGAATACCCGACAAATCATGAGAGCATGCAATTCGAGTCGAGCGTACAGCGAGTTCTTATTGGGGTGGGGTTTTCCCTTTCACAGGTCAAAGAACTGGGGATTTATCTCGTTGATTGTCCAAACATAGCTAAAGCTGTGGAGATGTACTTTGATAACTTGTGGAAGCTTGCATTCTTGAATTCATCAATTCATACAAGAAGGGTGTGGGATCGAGAATGGCAGGTTAATAGAACAGTTCCATGCTGGTCACATTTCATTGATCGTAGAGCAAGGTGCAGGTATGTAAAATATAGTTCATGGAGGCCTTTTGATTATGTCTTGATTATATAGCACGAATGAGTTCTTTCTTTGAGTCTATGTAGTTGGATGGTTTGTCAAATATTACAGGTCGCCTATCCCTAGTTATGTGGAGGTTCCCCATGTTAGAGGGTACCCTATATTATCAGACCCACGAATGTTGAAGCTTCCTATTCAGACTCCTGGATCTAACTACTCGACTCTGAGCCCTCAAATGAACTACCTGTCTTTTGCTCCACCTGAGGTAATTAATTCTCTGCTGGCTTTTCTTGCTGCATTGGACATTCTGTTCCTTGTGTTCATTCATTGTTATTGATCCTTCCACCCATTTGGCTGGCAGCTGCTGTTTGGGAACCATCAAACTGATGAGCAGGGCTGGGTTGATACAATCAAATCCGTCGGAACTGGGATGACAGTAAGAATTAGTACCATGGATTGGCTTGGGCAGTCAGAATTCACAGATGACGCGGTTTACTGGTCATCTCTCTCTTCTGCAATATCACAGGTATGATATGAATTCATTCCACTCAGGAGTGGCAAATGTGTTGCATTGATGCTATTTTTGGGATTGCATCATCTATGATAGATTCGTTGGTTTATGGGTTGAGCTGAAATCCAGTTGAATGTGTTACAGGTTGTCTTCTCGAAGCACGCCATGGTGAAGATACTGGTAGCATACTGGGGGCACAACATCAACAACACAGACCAGTACCTGAAATCCCTGCTCTACTCCAACGCCCTGTGTTCTTCGTCGAAATACAACCACTGCAGCGGTCGAGTCGAGATCAAGTACTACATGGTTCCAGGCTACAACCTCACGGGGCCTAGCCTGACGAGCAACGGGACGACGAGGACGGGGAACTTGTATCCTGGTTTTACCAGGGTGAATCACGGGAAGTATGCAGTCAGCGACGTGAGAGCGCATATAGGCACGAGCAATCTGGTGTGGGATTATTTCTACACGACGGCTGGTGTCAGCTTTGGGACGCACCACCCTGCAATTGTGAGGCAGCTCCAGGCCGTTTTTGATGCTGATTGGGAGTCGCAGTATGCCGTTCCAGTTGATGAACGTCGTTCATATTCTAGCTGAGGGGCAATTTTTGTTTATAGAAAGGCAGGTTAACACGGCCAATTCGTAGATGATTATACTTCTTAGACCTTCAGTGAAATTTGTTGCATCTATGACCGTAATAATTTTATGCTTAACATTATTTTTTTATTTATATAATCACTATATTCGTGAATATTATTTATATACCACAATTTTCTCATTTTTCATGATATTTGTTAATTCAGATTTAGTGGTTATATTTAGAAGAAAAACATTTTCAGCAAATGTAACAATGTCATTAAAAGCATAAGATACATGAACAGATAATTATGTGCGAAACTATTACTAAATACATTTAACCGTTGATACAACGTTCATGATATATAACATACAAGATTTTTATATAATACTAATTTAATAATGAAGTTATCTTGACTATAAATAATTTCAAATTCATATTATTACATAAATATCTAATAAACCATTCATTCCGTCTCACAAAATAAATCATAATTTCTTTAATTCAAACTAGATTTGGGCTCCCCGTTGGCCGGATGAATTTTGTTAATAGCATAAATAATCATGGTCATTGTTCGAGGCAAGCCATGTTTTTATTTCATACACCATAAAAAAAAATTCAAATTACTTAGTTAATGAAAATATCATACTCGTATAATTTTCAACATGCTAATCCGATATCTTGCTAAAGTCCTTATTGAAAATAAAAAACAAAAGCTAGGCGAGAAAATCCAGTCCTAAAAATTCAATGAGACTACACTATTTGCTCCTCGCTATAACAAATTATTGCAAATTTCATTTTTGATTCCATGTGATCGCTCCTCCTCCGTCCTCTAAAGCACTATCATCTCTAACAAGTACAATGCATTTTTCTTCTTTAATGAAACATTTATCTTCGTAGTAGTTTGTTCCTTCTCTTTTTCTTTTATATTTTCATTGAAAACAAATCTTTCATAGTAAAGTGTTTGAAAACACTAAACATTACACGCAGTAGAATACACGTATCGTGGATATTTTATGAGATTTATTCTTTCCCTAACGATGATACTCAATCTAGTGAGCAACACAAAATTTGATACTCCATAAATTAAAAACTTAATGAATAACCTTTAGGGGTTGACTATTCTTCAATAAGTACGTATTTTTTTCTTCTTCTTATATATATATGCAGATTTTATATTCCAATTTGTAAATCATGAATTAAGCGGGAGTATCATTATCATTCTAAATTGACTTTAAGAAGGTTGGGATCTTATTCAAAGTCCAGTTAGCAAGGTGATACCCACTTTCATGACAATCTAGCAAAAAATGATAGCGGGGATGTGATTAGGAATTGACATATAGCTCGGGTACCACTATAGAAGAACTGATTGTACATGATGCCATAGGATGCTAGAATAATAGATTATTTTTATTCCAAAATATATCAAAACGAAGGTTTGTCTTTGGTGCACACACTTTTTTTGGTGCATGTTATGCACTCGTCTCATAATCGTCATTCTAAGTAGGCCATTCATCTCAAAATGATGTCAATCGTTACTTGTACGATGGACAATAAAACACATGAATTTACCAAAAATTTGCTCAAGATTTACTTTGATTTGAATGGTTTAGGGTTGAGTAGTTTAAGGTTAAGGTTTACAATTTCGGGTTTAGGGTTAGGGTTCAAAATTGAAGGTTTAGGACTTAGGGTAAGGCATTGATGGGTTATGATCCTATGCTATATCATCATATTAGAGTTGGGTGCATATGCACTCATTTTTATGAGTGTACTGTAGAAGCTACCCAGAATGAATATCATTCTATGTAGTATAATTATTTAATTTTTAAGTAAAAAAAATTATAATTTAAATAAAAACAAATGAAATATGATTAATTAAAAATCAATCAGGGAGTGATTATTCCTGTTGAATTATACACCTCATCTATTAATAAAGTAATAATAATCTATTTTTTTATTTGATAACTCAGGGAACCTCAACCCCACGTGCCGCTTGAGCGACCGCGGGGCCTACTAAACCTGCATACTAATCGGGGCTTTATGCTACCAACATCGGGGAGGCTTCGCCTCCAATACCAAGGGTGCCGCTGGGAACGCTCAAGTGGCGCCACTGGGAATTGAACTCAGGACCTCCCACATCCAGAGCTCAATTGGTCCAGTGGTTTCACCACTAGGGTATGTTACCTTTGGCATAATATACAATGAAATAGAGGTGCTAATAGTAATTTTAATAAATACGTAGCGGAATTTTACGGTGCTCCATACTATCGGTTGTTTCATTTAAAAAATATTCAATGTTATAGTCAAATTCAGTTTGTCTTTATACATTTTTAAACAATTTTTTATAGTACAAACTGAACTTGTATTTTATTATTATGGTGGAAATTTAATTTGTACCTATATCTTTCCATACAAATTCATTTATAATACAAACTGAACGTATAATCTTTAACGTCATGGTACAATTTGCACTTATACATTTTCGTACAAATTACTTTATGATACAAAATGAACTTGTACCTTTAACGTTATAGTATAAATTCAAATTCCATCTACAATTACAATAGCTTGAAGAAGAAGCTGGGCCACATAAATCCTTTTATGTTCTCTATGGCCAGTATGAATTCAAATATATTGAGCGAAGCCCATCCATCCTCTCTTTTATGCTGTGTAGCCACGTGAATTAAAAAAAATATTTGACCTTAAGGTCCTTCCGCCCTCTGAGCAGGAGCTAAGGAATTTGGAATTGGTGGTGTCTTTGAGTAGAACCTCCATATAGTAATGGTTAGACTTAACTCCAATCGAATTAATAACGTATTTAAATTGAAGCAACATAGCTTCCCTCTCGAAAATAATGGATAAGACAACCATCACAATCAAAAGTGAACAACTCACAAATGAACGTGACGTGGATATAACCTGACCGGAGTTCAATCCGGCCACGATCCCCACACTGATTTTAGACAACCTGTGACCGTGAGGGTGATAATCGATCGACAATTCAATACGCAATGTGATCGGAGTTGGTTGTGTTGGAAATTTGAGACGAAGAAATTCGGCTGGAACACAGTAAACAAACTAATTTATTGATCGAAAGAAGAAATTACACCAGAGAGGCAATTAAACCACTCCGTGTCGTGCCAACTGAGTTGGCACTTTGAAGACACACAAACAACAACACTCTTCCCAAGCTTGATCCACCCAGAATAATCACTATGAATCAAACTACTGAAGAAAAACAACCGGACTTAAGATAGCCTAAGAATTCTCCTGATTCTTTCTCTATCGCTGCCAAGTTCTAAACGAACAATCATAAGTCTATTTATACCTAGAAATCTGTCTTGACCGTTGCACTGGAATAGAGCCGTTTGATCTCCATCATGTCTTTGGTGGGATGTCGGTGATGTCTGTGCTTCATCACCGACGATCAGATTTGAGCTTTTTCGCCGCTTCTTGTAGGTAGGTGGGAGGCTATGATCGAGAGGCTAGGGTTGAGTGTATGATCAATTCTGCTCGATTCAGTAGACTTAGAAGGACGATGAAGCGAGTGACTGTTGGAGTCCAAAACGTCGTCGTGTGGAGCTTAAGCGCGCAGCATATCTTGTCGTATGAACTTGGGACGAAAACGTCACCGTATTGGAAGATGCCAAGTTCGTCATCTTTCATCAATTTCCCCCTTCGTCCGAGAAGTCTGGGTTTACCTGAAACACATGAAACAGAAGAAAGCCAGCAGAGAGCACAGGAAACCGAAGCTACTATTACTTGATAAAGAGAATTACAGAATACCAGCATTCAGAATTACAAAAGGATCCAACTCCTTAAAATCTTCCCCCTAAACTACAGCAACCAAAAGAGACTACCTAACTAAAAATTAAACTACAGAGGGGAACAACTAAAACTATCTAAGATTTCCCCCTAAGAACTAGCAGACAATTAGGCGAGAGAGGATGGTCCTTCTTGAGCAGACCCTGCAGAGTCATCTGAGGAGGAATTTCCATCAGAGACTGTAAACACTAGATTAGTATTCTTGCTGGATTCGCCAGCAACTGATTTTCCTTTGTTAGAGGTGACAGGCTTTGGGTGAGGACCTAGCAGAGAGGTGGATGGAAGTGGAGGTGGAGATGGAGAGATATCAGTGGGTAGATCGAGGATCATTAAGACATTGAGAGCTCCAACGTACATAGTGTGGGATACACTTCTGTGATCTGATAGGTCAATCCCTAGATTGACCAGCATTCGAGTAATGATAGACCCGAAAGGGAGAAGTCCTTGGTAATGTTCATCCCCAGCTGGGAGGAGATTTGCAAACAGCAAGCTGGAAAAATTCAATTTGCGTCCTGCCGTTGCACTTGCAATGATCCAGAGATCAAGTGGCAGGACAACATCAAGATTATATGTTCTAGGGAAGAACACATGTGTGATGAAGTGGTGGAAGATCCTCAAACGCGGAGTTAACCATCCAATTGGAATCGGCACATCAGTTCCTCCAGTCGGCTCTGTGGAGAAGTTTGCATATTCAGTGGGAAGAATGAAGTCATGCTTCCAGAACTCCGAGGGATGAGCGATATCTAATCCCTGATCAGGAAATCCAAGGATTCCATTCAGGGCTGCTACTGGAATGGTTAGAAGATGGCCATAGATGACTGTTGAGAAGCTTCTGGTACTGATTCCTTGACACCTTAGATTCGAGTAGAAGTACTTCACTGCACCAGGGCAAGCTGGATGGAGAGGTTGACGCAGCAGATAATCCCATCCGAGAGCCTCGATGAGAGAAATGATATCGTATTTATAGGGATTGAACTCATAGGGATCTAGCTGAATAATGTGATGCAACCTTCTATTCTCGAAATGTTGAAGATGACGATGATGATTGATCACCACAGGTTCATGGAACATGTACCCAGGATAGGTATGCACTAACCCTTTGAATCGAAAAGGTCGGGGCAGGTGATCACTCATCTTGGAAAATTTGATTTTTCTAGCAGGGAAGATTTTGATGGTTTTTACTCGAGGTTTGTTGAAGCAAGGGTGAGGAGAAATTGGCTTAGGGATATGGTTTATATAGAGTATGCAAGCTGAGAGCAGCAGGGAAGTCGAAGAGTTTTTCTTCTAATGCCGAAGCATAA